AGGGCGGCCGATGAGAGCAGCATTCTCAAAGAGGCTACCAGCTTCTGACTGTTTGCTACTTTTGCATTTAGCCATTATTTGCTGAAATACAAAAGTTTTGTCTGCTGTATGTTTTCTCTCCTGTGTCAAAAGTGCCATTCAACATTGCTGTTGGAAATTCTGAAAGCAAACTGATTTTACCTTCCTTTATGAATTGCCTAATTTCTTTGCCTAGATGTCCAAAGGATATTTTTTGGTCTCGTTAAAAACACAGTATGGTGGGAATGTGTTTCACCCTTCTAATTTCATATGTTTGGGAATGCAGAGTTCCATTTCAATGTGCACTTTAATTTTTCTATTTTACAAAATATCAACCGAATTATAATATTTACTCTTTATTTTATTACTTCTTCTTTAGGAAATTTTATTACACACACTGTGAAACTTTTTTATCACCGAATTCTTCCACTTTCTCTTAAATCAGTTTCCATTTGATTTTTTAAAAAAGACCTTCCTCCTCTTACGTTTTTATTAAGACTTTGTACTAGTCTTCTCATTTAGATCTCATTTCTAAAATGACCTTTTCACATTTGAATTGTGCTACTACATTATTTTCACTAATTCTGAGTTATGCTGATCTTTAATATTGTTTTATTTTTGCCACCATTTTTATTAGTCCATGCAGAGCTGTTAGTCCAAGCCTAACTACTCCAGTGCGTAATGATTACCTTCACTGTGAGGAGCTGGCCCATGTACATGACACATTTTAGTTCTTTATCCCCTAATATCATTTTGGGGCCTTTGCTTTTGACCTGTTTGGTGGCGATGCCTTTGTAGTCACATCTGCAAGAACAGTACTTCATCCCTTCTTCTTCATGGGGTAATTTCCTGTGGGATTCTCTTGTGGTCCTTTTCTGCTACTTGGTTACCCTGAGATTAGTTTCTCCAGATCAGGAGCGATGGGCTGGTTCTCAGAGGCTCTAGCTTGGTGGCTCTAGGGCGCCCTCTCCTGTTGTTGTCCGGAAAGGCCTTCCTCCCCGCCCCACTCTGCGTTCCTCTCTCCCTCCTCTCCTCTCCTCCCTCTCCCCTGGGTCCTCCCAGCAGCTCCTCCTCTGGGAGGAGGTGGCTGGCTGACTGGAGAGATCCAGGCACTGTGAACGCAACTTAGGGATAAAGGCTTCGAAAGACACCCTTAGCTCACCGCTGGTTACCTGGCAGACGTCTGCGTTGGGATGATGGCTCTAAATGTAACACACTGCACTGCCCGAACGAATCCAGTCAGAAAATTGGGCAGTGAATGCATGAAAGATTCCAAAGTGCATCTTGGCTGTGAGGGCTGAGGCCAGCCCTGACGAGAAACCTTCCTTTTGCTTCTGACTGGCTTTTAAAACAATCTGCAACCCCATTCCAAAGATCAATTCATCCTATTCACAGGAAGGGTTTTTCCAAGTTGGGAAATCAGCAAAGCCAGGCTTTAGGCAGAGGAAATGACAAGAAGAAAATCAAGGCCCTCGGCAGGGCCCCACCCTCTGCACACCCGGCTAGGCAACAAATGTGCTTTCATACGGCATCCTGAAGACCACTGCGCGCCTCTCCCGGTTCTATTAACACAGACCAATTAAGTTAATGCATCCCCTGGCACATCTTAATTCCTGGAAGACCGTGTTTTACTGTTCTTCTTACATTTGCTTTCATCTTTGCTAAATTGGAATGGAAGAGAAATCCATTATGGATATTATAAGAGAGGCTGGCTCTGCAAAGGGACCTCTCTCTCTCTCCCTC